CCGAAAACTATAAACTGTGTCTTCATTAGCTATGCACATAATAGGAGTGCGTATCGCTTTCTTGTGTATGATTCAAAAATTCCAGACATACACAAAAACACGATAATGGAATCAAGAAATGCTACATTCTTTAAAAAAGTATTTCCATACAGATCCAAAGAGGAAGCAAACTCCTCTAAACGAACATATGAGACAATGACTGAAAATAGTTAGAACGAAGAATTAGAAGAGTAGACTGAGGTTAGACGCAGTAAATGGGAAAGGACAGAAAAATCTTATGGTCCTGATTTTCTGATCTATATGCTAGAAAGTGAACCTCAAAGTTATCAAGAAGCAGTGAATTCCTCGGATGGACCTCAATGGAAAGAAACCATTGAAAGTGAAATAGATTCCATACTACAAAAAATCATACATGGGAGCTAGTGGATCTTCCTCCAAGAAGCAAACCACTAGGCTACAAATGAATTTTCAAAAGGAAAATGAAAGCAGATGGAACTATAGAGAAGTATAAGGCCGGATTAGTAATTAAAGGCTACAAACAAAGGGAAGACCTTGATTACTTTGATACGTATTCTCCAGTGACGAGAATAACATCTATTAGGATGATACTTGCGATTGCCGCTTTGCGAAATCTTGAAGTACATCAATTGGATGTTAAAACTGCATTTCTAAATGGAGATTTAGAAATAGAAATTTACATGGAACAACTTGAGAGGTTTTCGTCACCAGAATAGGAAAAGAAAGTCTGTAAACTAGTGAAGTTACTATATGGCTTGAAACAAGCACCAAAACAATGGCATGAAAAATTTGACGGTGTCATGATTGAGAGTGGATTTAAAATCAATGAATGTGACAAATGTGTTTATGTCAAAGACACTAAAGATGGATATGTCATCTTATGTCTTTACGTTGACGACATGCTTACTGTTGGTAGTGACAATAAGATAATTGAATCCACTGAAATATGTTAAACTCGAGATTTGACATGAAAGATATAGGTTATACTTGGAGTGAAAATCTCAAGAATGATACTGGCTTGGCTAAAATATCAATAGATACGAGTCAACATCTGTCTAAAAACAAAGGAGAAAGTATCTCTCAAGTAAAATACTCGAGAGTTATCGGAAGTCTAATATACTTAACGAGTTGTACTAGACCAGACATAACCTACACAGTCAGTAAACTGAGTAGATACACGAGTAATCCAGGAGCTGATCACTGGAAAGAAATTGTAAAAGTACTAAGGTACTTAAGATATACTCGTGACTATGGACTACATTATACTAGATATCCAGCAGTCATTGAATGATACAGTGATGCTAATTGGATATCTAATATAAAAGACTTAAAATCCACCAGTGAATATGTGTCCACATTGGGTGGTGCTGTCATATCGTGAAAATCCTCTAAGCAAACGTTTATAGTCAAATCTACGATGGAATATGAGTTTATAGCTCTAGATAAATGTGGTGAAGAGGTTGAATGGTTGCACAACTTCTTAGAGGATATTCCAAGATGGTCAAAACTTGTGCCAGCAATTTGCATATATTGTGACAGTCAATCGGCAATAGGAAGGGCACAGAGTAACATATATAATGGTAAGTCTAGACATATACGTCGTAGATACAATACCATAAGACAATTACTCTCAACTGGAGTTATCACTATTGACTATATAAGGTCAAAAGATAACATTATAGATCTGCTAACCAAAGGATTAAATAGAGAGTTAGTTATGAAATCATCGAAAGGAATAGGACATAAGCTCTTGAAAGAATAAGTCATTACAAAGGAAAACTCAACCTAGTTGACTGGAGATCCCAAGATCTAGGTTCAATGGGAAAACCTAACTGTAAAGACTTGATAAAATCACTGTGGGGGTATTACATCCTGTCCATTCCTATGATGTAACAGTGATACCCATAAGGTTGGAGGTTAAGCAATAGGTTTTTAATGATTCTTATGCGTCGTAAATCGAGCCAAGTAATGCGGGTTACTTGTAATAAGAAATCACCTATGTGAGAGAGAAGTGGGGCCGCTTCTAAGAGAATTGTGTGGGGCTCAATTCTTAAAAACTCTTACAGAATCAGGCATACGTTCATAGCCAAAACGAACATAACAATGAGAACTGGATTGTGCTAGGAAGAATCCTGTGAGAGGTATATCGTCGTTTACACAAACGGCAGAACAGTTTAAGGATATCGTATCTACTGGTTAGCCAGTAAAGTAAATATGTTTTTACAAGAGAAGGTTCAAAGGGTAACACATATCTATCCTATGCAGGATTCAACCGTTGAACTTTATCACCAAGTCTTATGTCTCACATTTCGTGTCTCTCCCAATTTTCATTCATGTGGGGGATTTTTGGAAAAAATTGAGCGAGCGGCTCACTTTTGGCACAATTTTCGATGGGACCCGTTGGTCCAATGTGAAATATCAAAATTGATATGTGTTCTCCTCCGCAAGAACATCGATTTCATGTATTTATTTATCAAAAATGAAGTTCGGGTGAATGAGAAATTGAGGCTCAAAGTTGGTCATTGAAAGTTGGTTTTGTGGGAAAAAATGCATCTATCCCACATAAGAAAACGAAGGAAACTCAAACCATTTTATATATGGCTATGCTTTGGAGATGTGTAATCATGTGTAGCATACAGGCTCTCTCCACGTGGGTGCACAGGGGACGTGCAAATCACGAACGAAATGGCATTCGGACCTTGAACTTGGGTACGGGCGCGACCTGCGCACATGAATGTCGGATCGAACAAGGCAAAAATGGCCCCATCGGAGAACCCACGTTTTGCCAAATTTTTTTTGGCCTTCTCCAATGACTTTTGAGTTTCTAAACTGAAAAAACTTCAATGGACTCCCAATGGTCACAATATTAATGGGCAATATGCCTATAAAAAGGTTCATTCTCCAGCAATCTAACACACTCGAAAATCTCACCTACATTCCTGCATACAAAGTTTCTTCTTTTTTGCATTCCTTGTCTAGTAAGGTTTTGTTCTTGTGGTGATATTGTTTAGATACTAGATCAGTTCGTCGGAGTAGGACCGCGATTCTCGAATTCTGTTTATTATCGTTGTATCCTGGGAAACGGCCGCTCGAACTGAACCTCCAGCACCTACGGTGAGGGGGCGAAACTGTCTTAAGGAAACTGTGCACGCACAGGCTTCGATTTGAAATCTGTTGCAGTTTGTGTTTTCTTTCTACAGATTATTTTCACATTACTATTTAATTCGTGCAGTTTGTAGTTCCATAGTGTGCAGCTTCTAGATTCATCATTTACAGTTTTAGCCTGCAGTTAACTTATATTTTTTATTTTGTGTTGCTAAACATTTTTTTTTTCAGCCGTTGGAAAATTCTGAAACAGAATTTGTTTTGATAAATTGAAGTCGTTTACCTTGTGGTTATTAATTTCAATAGTCGGCTATTGCAATTGAATAAAACTTATACAATTGATTTCATCCACTAGCGATTTGTTTTCCTACACTTTGAAGATTATTGAAATACGTACACACACATAACTGTAGCTATACATCCTGATTTACAGCTTTAAAATCCTCGCGTATACACAGTAGGGCACCAGAAAAAACACCTGCATCCCGAAATCCTGCTGGTAAATAATACATGCTTAAACAGCCTGAAGAAGATTCTGGTCCGCGTCATAGCCAAAGAGGAGGCCTCCAATGCCAGCAGAGAGGGCCGGTCTCATAATATTAGGTGTCTTATGCTGTCCTCCAGCACTCTGAACAATGTTTTATGGGCTGTGGAAATTGCTCCCTCCAACATTTCCGAACGTGATTAATAAATATAAGGCCATTTTTTGTTGGGTTACTTGAAATATACACGAAAGAAAATAGTCTGATGTATTCCATGATGAAGTACCTCTACAAAACTGAAAATCTGTACTTCACTGCCCTTCTCATTTTACATTATAGCGATAAAATTATATATATAATACTTAGTTACTTCCATTTTACTTGTGTGGTGTGGGGAGGATAGTTTTCTACCATAAAATTAAAAAAATTACTTCCAAATTAAGCTACTTTTATGTAGGACAGAAATTGACATCAGCCTTAAATATTGGATTGCATTATCCTTAATTTTTCCCGTTGAGATTTGTTATCCTGAACTTATTGTTTTCTAATTTGTCCCTTCAATATATTTTTGACAAATCAGCATATTTAAGGCCGACGTCAACTCATTTTCTGTCATGTTACAGTTTTGAGAAATGACGGAAAGTAATTTGGGAAAATAAGCCATCAATTGTTGCTCTCTAGAAATACGTATAAAACACAATTTCAATTTCATTTTTCTGCCACGTTCCACTTTTGAAATATTAGGGAAAATAATTCGGGAAAATCATCTGTCAGTTCATCCCATCTGTAAAAAGGAAGCATGTTACATAAGCAATTATTGAAAATGATGTGGAGGAAAAAAATTAGATAAAGAAATTGATTGTATTTTAAATCGGTAAATGATAGTGTTATGTAACATTATATAATTCTTTATATAAAAATTGATGGCAACATCCATCTAGAAATAAGTATAAAACACAATTTCGACTTCATGGCACATAACATTTTGTAAAATAACTTTAAATTTTTTTTTGAAAGTAACAGTAATTTCACAAAACACGTTTTTAAACAAAATTTCATATCATACAAAACGCTCATCGTAGCCAAGATTTCGCCCAATGAATATATTTTAGAGGTATGCGTCAGCGTACCATTAATTTTAATTTCTTGTTATCCTCGCGTTAAATTGACAAATGGACACAAACAGAATGACTACATTTGCACTCTCTCAATTGAAGTTCAGGGATCCCCTTGCAAGATTGCTAATGTTCGATGACTTGCCATGCATTTAACCTGTGTTTATAAAATACCTTGCAAAACAATAGCATAATGTTTGGTCCTGAGCAAGATTCTTGTACATTAAAATTAAGCCCAGTTTGGTACAAATTAAAATCTAAATTTTAATTTAAATCAAAGTGAACAATCAATTTTAACTACATAATTTATAAATCCCACAACTTTTGAACTATACAATTCATCAAATTTTATCAAAAATCACTAAAATCCTTGCTTTAATTCCAACCAAACAGAGGCTTAATATAGCACTACAAGAAGACCACAAATGCTTTCTATAATTGTAACTGGAACATAATAAAGGCTAATGCCTTATTTGTTGGAAGCACATGTTACACTCGGGAAAGGCGCTGATGAAGCTTGAAATCAGATGAGGTGGAATTGACTGTCCTTGTACGAGTATACCGTGGTACCTCTGGATCAATGAGAGCACACTACTCTGCAGATCAACCTCTTCCATAGTACCTATGCACCAATGTGAAGCAGCATAAGATTAAAGGTTAAGCACTATTTTTATTCAGTCGTGTATAATACAACTAAGTTTCTCCAACTATCTCAGATAAACGCATCAATGTTATGTAATATCATCATTCTTAGGAAAATATATTCGGCTGATCAATTGAACCGGTTACTCCAGTCTGATTTACAACTAGGTTTCTCTAACCAAACTTTTACGAGATAATAACAGTCAAATATAGTCCAGATGTTAATATGTTTCGAGAAATATAAAGTATCTTGACCCAGACACCCACGGTCATCAAAAAAATATATATATAAAGCATCCAGATGTTGGCTAACTAATGTCCCAAGCAACCCCGTTTCCAAATACTACGGAAAAAATTAAGAATCAGAAAAGAGCATTGACAATCAATACCAAGGTCAATATCTTGCTCCTGATCTTCCAAATCACCTTCTTCCACAATAGTCCCATTTTCCAATGCAGTGGCTACTTTGGCACACCTTTCTAGGAATTCCTCTTCAGTTTCTTCTATTTCATCATCCTCGGAATCCTAGCATCGCAACCAAAAGTAAAAACAAGACGCAATTCAGTACACTGGTAGTTGCTAATGTGGTTAAAAATATGAGAACTACAAGATGCATGAATAATATTGCAAACGAAACACTCCATTTGATGAATCTCTTCAGGGGTGACATTTGTCCTCTTATATTTTCACTTCTTGTTTATCTTTTCCTTTTTGTGTGAAGAGGAAGGACGCATTTTGAGGAAAGAGGAGGCAGTATTTAGAATCAAGCACGCTAGCATTCAAATTGATAGAACAGGAAGGAAATTAGTCCTTAACCTCTTCATCATCATCCTCAGAGTCCTCATCATTATCATCCTCGCCTTCGTCTTCTTCATCTTCTTCTTCCTCTTCTACTTGCATTTCTTTCGCCCTTATGGATGCCTCTATCAATGAAGTAAAGCAATCATGCAGTGAAGTACTCCTTTGTTTTCCTTCTGTTAGCAGACGCTCAATTACTTTGACTAATGTCATCCCTGAAAGTCATTATGAAACCATATGATTACATGAATATCTTTAAGCGAGACCTCAAACCATTTTATAGACAATTCCATGAATTTATGGAGATGAAATGGATAATATGGCAGTTACTAGATTTAGTAAATTGATAGACGATGAATATAATTCTTGGAAAACTTTTGAGGTTATAACCATTTATGCACCAGCCCAGCAGCTAAACTCATCATTCACTACTTTCTCCAGCTCTTTCACAAACAATGACCATGCTCCCAAAGAATTGAAAGGGCTAAAAATTTAACACTAACCAGTTAACTTTATCTCAGACTCCGTTGACATTTTGTGTTCAAATTTGTCAGTCAAGATAAATGCCAAGGCAGATACCCAGACAGTGAAGCCTTCATGTTCAAGGGTCTCCAAAATCTTCTCAACTCCGTCAGGGAAGTGTAAATAGCAGGATGATATCCCTAGCAACAATGGTTTCCACAATGAGCAAGGCTTGCTTTTAGTTTCTCTGAAACGAGAAAATGCCGCCTTGCTAAACGAAAAAGCCAGCGACTTCTTAACATCTTGTTCTAATGAGTAACTTGTGACATGTAATAACATATGGACACATGATGAAGCCCTCCAGACTGCAGATGGATACTGTGAAAATGCCTCGGTGACAAAAAGACCAATTCCTTCGATAATTGAACGTTGTGGCACAGGAGGAGCTGGAGGAGATGGTAGTTGTCCCACAACGAAATTCTTCAAAGCAAATTTGTTGTTTAGACTAACAGCTTCCTTGATGCACTTAAAAATAGATAAATCCTCCATTTCTTCCCAGGCATTCCAGTCGGCAATTAGATTAGACCAAGCTACTAGCAACTCTGAGATTTTTAGCTGTAGAACTATATTGCTATCAGCAATATATTGAATTATGAACCCAAGCAACGTGGATGAATCATCCACGCACGACGGAGACATTTTTGAAAGAGCAGCCTCACCATCCTGATCATTCACACAGAAGAGGAACATCATAAACATGATTCTGCCTTATGCATATCAAATTGCTAGCTAAAACATGTTTGGGTGTACAATAAATTGATTAGATTCGTAAGAAAGTAAGTTCTCCTTGATCATCTAAAAAGTATGAAATTTGGAAAGAGTAGGTAAATGCCAAACTGCTTTGCCACATATCAATTCCATTTCACTGCAAGATATCTCAAACCCTAGGGATTTCTCACCATTCACTTTTAACTTAACAAGATGTCCACAATTTTCAAGTATCAAATTTATAGTGTCTCATCCAGTACATTTAAAACAAAATTCAGTTTCTGTAATAAATAATCGCAGCCACCAATGGTGGATCAACAACCACGTGGTTTTGAGAATATGATACATCAGATCTTAGAACAAATGTGCATCAGAAATTTGAGTAGCCAAAGCGCAAAAATAAATCAGTATGATGAAAATAAACAATGTTCTAGTTAGAGCAACATTGTAATTAAAAATCCAATAATTCCAGCTTTTCCACTAGCTGCGTCAGATCCTAAAAAAACTTGATACAGTAGGCTAAAGTAAAAGTAGCTCAAAAGAATTTAGTAAAAGCATGAGCCCCATTTTTCGATTACAAATATATATAAGACTAACCATGGACTGGAAAGGTTTAAACCAAGCTCGTTGCAGGAGATCAGAGAAAGCTTTTGCAATAGTTGTCCGCCGAGATACCCACGCAACGTATGACTCGTTTTCTTCAGATCCTTCAGGTGCAGAGTCCTCCCAACATTGAGCTACCAATGCTAATGTTGCAAAGCCCCTTTCAACCATCTAATAGATGCAGAATCAGTTAAACTATAAAGATCCACACATCTACATGTATGCATGGATTATTGATTAAGGGCATGTGATAAGAGAGTCATTTAAAACATCATTACCACCAAAATATCCAATACAATGTACATGTTCAATTAATATATATATTTTCTCAAAAACATGGCATGCCAAAAGTTTTTCATATTTTAGCATACATCTGACAAGAATTGCCAGTAGAGAATAAATCTACAAGGACATCAAACCAAAAACTACAGATAATTGCCCAGGCAGAGGAAGGCCCAACCACAGTCCATAAGATTAGAGCAATTCCTCATCTACATGCTAGAAATAAGCCAGATCTAATTGAAATTCTGGTCTTGCCATGCCCAAGCCCTTGAGGGAGTTTCTCAATCTACAATCTAGAAAAGGGGAAATCTCATTCCACCTTAGTTTTAAACACCCCACCCCCAAGCCTGACAAATCATTTGTTCATGAGACTGGAGCTGCATATAAACTAATTAAATTGCAAGTTAACCTGATGAGTGAGAGAGCGAGAGAGAGAGAGAGAGAAACTGTTGTTTGGCCTTAACTTTCAACAAAAATGGATAGATTGGATAAATTGCTAACTGGATCACATTTTGATGTAAATGGATCCTTTATTATGTCCTAGACATCAAAAGCTACTCTGCCCGCCACAGACAGGTATATTCCTATTGTTGCCTGACCTCAATGTTTTCTTGGAGTGACTTGTAGAAAAAGCTATAGTTTTCACATGAGGTGGGAGAGAATTTAGTAAGCTTCCTACTGGTAACTTCTACATCATTGTTGGTTCCAGTGCCACGATCTAAACATCAACCATTCTCACCTACCTTGATTATCTGAATTAGAGAATTGATTAACTTTCATGGTTTAAGTAAATTTATTTAGTTTGCTAATATGATTTAAGTCTATTTAAGCAAAAGAAAACCATGTATCTAATTGAATCTAGATGCACGCCTGTTAATTCCTAAATAAAATAAACAGTCGCTAATGTTTAAGGAACAGTCATTAGAGACAATCATAACTTTATGTAACTAACATGAGATAGTAGTACATATAAGCTCAAAACTTGTGGTGGCCAAAGTACATTTGCTATGCATGTCACAAGTCCGCTTTTTATTCAATTTCCACACGGCTAAATTAAATTATTAGATAATTCCTTCATATATCAATTACAGGCTTTGCCCAACCCCATCACCAACTAGTATTCTGACAAGACAGGAAAATTAGAGAACAAAAATAAATAAATAGAGAAAATTGGTGGACAAGAAGAGTGGTCATACTTGAGGCCATGGATCTGGGCTAGGAGGTATACACCTTGATATTGCTCTGACCAACAATGGAACAATATCAGGGATGTAAGGAGCAACATTTTCACTCCCAATCTCCACTAAAGTACCAAGAAGCTGTAAATAAACTGAAGTATCTTCTTCATCATCGCTAATCCTACCAACTACCATCTGAAGCAGAGGTAACCATTCAGGTGGCATGTAGTCATTCTGTCAATCCAGAAGTAGGAGATCATACTTAATTGACTTAACACTTCAAGAAAAACTATACCAAGTTAGAACCTTCTTACTTCAACAAGTTTCGCAATTGCACCAGCGGATGATGTCCGGACAGGGAAACATGAAAACTTGTCCGTGTCAGGCATTGTCAACACTTTCAACAATGATGCATATATATCAGCATTCATTTCCTGGAAATTCAAATTTAACATTCCTCAAAGGATGCTCCACAAAATGGCATTGAAATGGTAAAAGGCATCCATGCTGGTATATATGAAAACATAGTTATGAGAGCAATTATTATAAGATAAATGAAAAGGAAATTGCCTCACCTCAGGAATACAGGGAGAGAGCTCTCCAAGGACCCAGTTTGCAGAAGCAATCAAATATGGTTGACAAAGAGATTCTTTATACAGAGGTAGCACCCGCGTCCGAATAAGAGTGGCAATAAATCCAGGCTTCTGCTCCTTCAGAAACTGATCATGAAGTGGAAGACAATAAATTGTTTTTGTAACAACTAGATAAGGCAAGTTTCGTAGGATCATTAGCATCAGATGTCCTTACATCTAGAAGACTGCTATAGGCCATTAAAACACCAAAATATCTGCCACAATAACACAAACCAAATCATTTAAAAAAAGGGAATCGGAGACTCTTTCGGAGGACAGTAATTTATGCTAAAAGAAAGAACAAGGACGGCTGAAGGAGAAATGGCGATGAAGATATCTTGAAAACATTCTAATACCCAAGGTTATTGTCTGTCTTAATCATATGCTTTATCAAAGTCGTTCGATTAGAGGAAATTTAACAAAAAAATCATTAAAACAAAATGCTTAAGGTTTCAAGAGTTAATTTCAACCAAATCAAAGTTGATGGAGTTAAGTTTCTTGCAACTCACTCATTTATAGCCTTTGAACTGGAATTAACAGGTATAGGGAACTTTGACAAGTAGGGTAGCACTAACAACTCTCCAATAGAACTGCAATCTTTTCTTTTGTTCCTTTCACCTTTCTTACGTTTGGATGAAACTGAAGAAGCCAAAACTGGAGGTCCCTGCAAGTTAACATCGATGTGAGCATTTCTACAGAGGAATCTGGAAGTGTAAGTTTGGAATACAGACCTTTGAGATTGAAATAATGCCAAGTAAATTCAAAGAACTTTTTCTTGCAGTAAACAGGTCCTCTCTCCAACCAGAAATTTCTTCCTGAACACAATTTAAAGCAATGTCTTCAAAACTAATGACAAATATATAGATGATGTTAAAAGATGATGATATCAATGCATACAAGTTCAGAGGGAAGATTTTTCCGCATGTACTCCTCTGCATCTTCTTCCCACTCTGCAATATCCTACTTGAAGACAGAATCAGGTAAATTACTTGAAGGTGAAAACTACAATTATATACTACCGAGACAACATTTTGTGAAATATTGCAAGAAAGAAAGGACAGCAGTTCCATGCTAAAATCTTGACACCAACTCCTTGATGCAATTCTTAAGTGGTTCATCTTCCACATGCAATCAAAATTTTAAAATATCACCATTGCATTTTTAAAAGATTTGAAAAATCTCAGATCTCACCTTCTCATTCATTATTAGTGTTGGGAAGATCGCGGAGTCTAACAAGGTTGAAAAATGGGATGACACAAGTCGCCATCCCTGTTCTCAGGTGATTACATAAGATAAAATAGTCTCAGATGGAGTCACAGAGCAGAATGAAAATACGTCAATTAGAACAATAGATCAGTTGATAAAAGGATAATAAAACCACTAGAACAGGAAAAGGAATATTATTAATAAATGAGAAAATCAAATGTGCTTACTGGTCCAGTCTCCAGAACACGAGAGATAACATCAAAAGCTAATGAAACAATCCTCTCTGATAAAAAATCCAACTTCTGCACAAGGATTATCCATGGGATGTCAAATATTTGGAATGTTTTTTCCTTCATTTCATGGTTTGAACGGAAAAAATCAAGAGACAAACTGAATACAGGTCAATGGACAATTAAATAACGCCTGAGTACCAGTTTAGCCATAATGACAAACTAAGCCTTGTTCTCCATAAACTTAAGGTCAGCTTCATGCATCTGTTATCACACTTTCTTCCATCCATTAATAAATCATCTCGAAGATCAAAAGCAAATAGATTCTTAGCAACCATTACAAGCCAAGTGTTAAATCCTTATTAGTTTCATGAGGAAGGTGCAAAATCATAACAGGCATACAACAGTACCATAAGAATTACCAAAAAATTTCAATGAAAAGCAAGCAAGAATTTGAGGTTATCATAATTCAGGCAATCATAAAGCCCTTACACTAATGATCGAGCTGTACTTGACAATTTTTGATACGGAATCTAAAATATCTGGCATCAGCCTGCGAATGTAAAATTAGACAAATATAAGGGACAATTCCAGTTGCCTCTTCCTCATAGAAGTCAAATCTTAAAAGGACTGTATATTACTTATCAGAGAACTTCCGATGTCGAGTAACTAAAGCACAGAAAATGAGTAAACCTCTCTTTCCCGTCTTTCGCCTCAGTGTCTGCCCTTCTACAAAAGCTTCTCCACCCTCAAGAGTTATAGAACTCAAAATTTTAAACAGATCGCTACAAAGAGAAGGAAGAAAAGGTGCCAAAGCAGATGGCATATGTGATCGCACCTGCAAAACCAAAAAAATAAATTGGGGCTCAGAGAAAAGGGAAGAATTAGAAATATTGTCTCCAGATAAAGGTTATATGGACACTTACAAATTAAAAACTAAAATAACGCAATCAGTGACAGTAGAAAAGAAAAAAAGAAATGCAAGAAACATGCAATACTTGCAAGTTAGCCAAAAATTAACCTACATGGAGAGACAAGCGCTGTGTAACATAGAAAGCTGGCGTAAAAATTAAACTTACAGTAAAATATATGCACTTGCATGTGATGAGGAGGATCTTCTCAGTTTCCTCGTCCACTCTACCTTGGACAGTTGATGCCTGCAAATGCACCAATGCAATGAATTCAAGATAGTTCAACACATGAGAAAAAGGCAAAAGTAATAGAATCAAAAAGAAAATTACCTTTTCCACCTGATGATGGAAAACTGCAAGCAAGGGTACAAGCAGCTCTTTTGTAATTAGCTCTAGCTGGGGTGGAACTGGCTCCTTCACAAGTTTTGGATTCAAAAAGTACTGCCAGAGGTGTAAGTACAATCAGAGCACTTCTACAAATAAATCACAAAAGAAAAAATAGGATTTTGGCGGCATTGGCTGGTATTGGAAGAGAAAATAATTGTTTTACACTCTTCAGCAAACACTCTTCAGCAACGACTTATAAAACATGGTTTAAAAGTTGTGACCTCACGTTAGATTGATAACAATGGTACAACAACATAAAATGGTATAACAATCGTACCTTCCAACATAAATCAGTAAAGACTTCTAAAATGTGGTTTAAAAGTTGTAACTAGTAAGTTAACATGCTCATTTGATAATTAATATCTGTCGTGGAAAATAGTCAATTGGATGCGTGATTATTGATTAACCAAAACAGATTTGACACTGAGATGGTGGCAATAGTCTCACTTTAAAATTTTCTTTGTCTCTGTTTTACATTCCGTTATGAACCATCGATCATTCCTCATGGTCATTTACCAACCTATCATATCCCAATCGCCTTCCAACAGACAACAGTTCAATCCAATTCTTTCTAATATGAATAACTCATATAAATTGATAACAATGCTACAACATATAGAAGCCAGGTTTATTTTTGTATTTAAGTGATTAAGTACCTGGAATGGTCTAATGAGCGAGTGCAGCACCGTTAGGGCATTGATTGTTTTCCATTTAGATTTCCCACTATTGCAGATCCGGTCACTGTCCTCAATGACCCACCTAAGCTCTGGTACAAGTTCTGGCCATGCATTACTCTTCACAAACTCCACAGCAACAATAGCTCGAAACTAGAAACAGACAGAAGATAAAATCAAGTCAACATGGATAACAATTATCTTCTATGGAAAAAAAATGACGTAAAATCACTCAAATTAGAAGTCAGTGTACATACAGCTTCAATTAAAACTTTGAGAACAGGAGGTTCAACTTGAAGCAAAGCACGCATTAACTGATCTCTAAACTCCTTGCTTGTCGACGAATTTGTACAATTCGCATCAGTATTTCGCCGTGTGAAGTTCTTTAGATAAGTAGCTGCAGCAAGTTTCACTCCTTGGTCATCTCCTACAAAAAGCGATTAAATAAAAAAAATTAACAAAAAAAAAATCAATTATCACAAAATCTTGGGGCAGTAGGACTGATTCAGCGTACCGGAGGCAATGATGGAAAGAAGAGAGAAAGGAAAATTAAGGAATGTGCGTGAGAGGTGGTCAAGGGCATCGGTAGCAGAAGAGAGAATTGAGCTGTCAGGACTGAGTGTCTGGATGAGAAGCTTCGAGATTTGGCGAGTTTCCATGGGTTTCGACGATTTGATGCGGCGGAACCCTAGCTCTGCGGTGTTAGCTCAGAGGTGGCGCAAAAGTTTGAATTGGGACAAAATAAAGGGACCGATGAGTAAAGTGCTGCGCGGGAAAATCATTGCGACAGGCGCCTTTTTTTGAGAATTTGTTTGGTTCGGAAACTATGATATAAAAATTTGTTTTTTATTATTATTATATTTTTTTTTTTTCAAATTGCTTATTTAAGTGTGATTAAACTCATGTTTGAGCTCATTTTTTCATTTTTTTTCCAATTATTTTTCTACTGTACTCATTTTTAATAACACATTCTTTATTAAAATAATATTACGTGTAAATAAAAAAAAAATCTTCTTTTTTAACTATACATTTCCCTTCAATTTATTATTCCATAATACATTTTAAAAAATTAATGGGTTTGGGTTCAAACAGGGCCTAGAAAAACTTAAAAGTGTCTCGTATTTAAATGGATTGGATAGGCCAAAAAAAAAAAAATAGGGAATATTGAGGACTGGTTGGGGAGGAAAAAAAAAAAAAAAAAAATTGGGAATATTGAGGACTTTCTTGCAAATGATTTGGTTTTAATTGTAAGCCAAATGTTGATTAAAAAAAAATACAATATGCAAATGTGTATACACTTTGTAATGATGAATATTCTAGTGTGCTTCTGTTGACACGCTAAAACCGCAGCCCAAATCGAATAGTCCAAAGAATGAAACCCAACTGGGCAATTTAGGATAAAGACTCAAATAGGGTTATTAATGAATGCAGTGGAAGCCCACGAATGCGGTAACACCATCGCCCAAACTTGCAAGACGCCCAAGATCTAAGCGAATGAAGTACCTTGCAGTCGCTCAGAGTTATGATCCTGTTCTCGCCCAAACCTTCGAATTGCCCAGGATCTTAGCTAACATAAGATGTTATGGTTATCCAAAAGTGCAGTTATCGAAACAGTTATTGAGTAGTTGATCACGAAAAGATCATCAAGGGAATATAAAAGGAAGAAAAGACATAAAGCAAAGAAGACCCCGAATCAAACACTCTCAAACAAAAAATATGTAATTTCAATTTCTTAATTTAGACTTAAACATTTCTTTTCAATACTCGTGTGCTTACGCCCCTTGGAGGCATTCTGTTTAGTTCCAATTGTAAAGTTATCACCAATAAAACACTCATTTTTGGGATTTTGTCTCAAGATGTTTGTTCCTTACACAATCGTCTAATCCCTTTTTAATTGTTAACGACTACCCGTGCAAAACAATTTGGCACGCCCAGTGGGACTTTGGTGTTTGGTGTTGAAGATACAAAAGGTGAAACAATATGCCTCAAAAATTCGATAAGGAAGCAGCAAGTCAGGAAGGAGTCCAGTCTGTGATCGAGCGATATAAGGAGCAGTATAGCTTTCCACGAACAGATGGACAAAATCAGAGCAATCATAGTCGTTACGAACCAATGACAGAGTTGAGTCCTCGAACCATGCGTGCATTACTCGGAGAACTCACACAAGATGTCGTTGAATAGGTAAATCTGCGAAATATTCATAATATGGAAAGATTTACCCAGAATGGGAATACACATTATGACAACATGACCAAACAACTGAATACTTTGAACAAAATAATGAATAAGTTAGTAGGCCAAATTTATCGACCAGTTGTGCCTCTTGCAAACTACTTTCAAACTAGAACAATTGTGAGACATAATCCCCCAGTCCTAAGTTTAAATCAAGGGGTTGAACCACCTTTTGATCCCTCTACTTCAAACCAGGGGGTGGTGTAATACCAAATCAGATTAGTGGCATTGGTACATCTAACTTGGGGGGTAACCTAAATGTAAGAGATAATGTCCTAAATAATTGGCAGAATACCCCACATGTTAATGATGGAATAAATGTTCAGGCTAATGATAACAATGGCCCAAATCATGGAAACTTTGTCGCCAACCAAGGACCAAACATCAGGCCTCAAGCAAATCAACTGGTCAACCAACCTGTAGGAATTTCATATGACCCCAACGTCATGTTGAGGAATCAGATTATGGAAATTGTACAGGACCAGATGGCTTTTGGAGTACGTCCTGTCATTAGGCCGACTTACACAAAAACATATCCTGATTGGATAGTCCAAGCATATCCATGGCCTAGAGGGTATAAAGTGCCAGAATTCTCACTGTTTACCGGTTTAGGAGAGATGTCTACTCTAGAACACATAGGGCGATTCACACTGCAAAGTGGTGACGTAACTGATTACCATAAAATGAGGTTGTTCCCTAGTTCATTAACAGGAGTAGTTTTCTCCTGGTTCATCAATTTGCCAGCAAACTCTGTTCAAACATGGCAACAATTGGAACAATTGTTCCACGCTCAGTTTTATAAGATTAAGTTTGAAGTTACTTTGGTCGATTTGATGAATCTGCGTCAAATGCCAAACGAATGGGCAGAAGGTTTCCTTCAAAGGTTCAAGACAGCAAGAAGTAAATGTTTTGTACCTTTGCCCGAAAAGGAGTTTGTCAAAATCGTTCAAGGTTGTCTAAACTTTGATTTGAAGAAGAAATTTCAAGACAAGGAATTTCCTGATCTTTTCCAATTGAGTGCGAACGTGATTAGGTATGAACGATTAATAAGAGAAGAAGAACAAATAAAAAATTCTAGCAATGAGACTTATTATAGAGACCCAAATTTTGATGTTCATACCATTAATGACGAGTATTATGATCAAACCGAAATATGTTCGGCCGAATTAGTTAAAGGAGACACATATACTTGTCCTATAATGGCTAAACCTAGACCATCGGGCAAGGATGAGCCTATAAAAGATGAAAACATAAAGGTTAGAACGTTCTCATTCGATGTAACCAAAGCTGACCTTATATTTGATAAATTATATAAGGATAAGCAGATAAAGCTGAGCAATAAGCATAAATTTTCAAGCCCTGAACAAGTTAAGGGTAAAAAATATTGTAAGTGGCATAATGCATGGTCACATTTGACAAACAACTGTTTGGTTTTTCGCCATGTGTTACAAGATGCCATTGAATCAGGACGAATTACGTTCGAGGATAAGAGGAAGATGGCAGTGGATGAAAATCCTTTTCCATAGCCACTTGGAGTGAACATGATGACGTCTAGTTTCAAAAACAAGTTGCCAAAATTCAAATTGGTTATAGATGATGGAGAAGAAGACCCTGGACCACATCCCAGTGTCTTTGAACATATCCAAGAGAAAGAGCCCAAAAAGGACGAAGACGTCCTATGTGCAAGATATAAAAAAGAAGTGAGTGCAAATGCAGAGAAACCAGGGATATGGCAGCATCACCATCGCCCTAGTTTTTTCCCAAACGCTCAGCCTGGTAGAGGGCGCGGTACATTGTTCTATAAGGGACCGCCTTTTGAGAGGCAGTTCAGGCCAGTAAATAATGGGAGAACATTCAGACTGCAACCTCGCCAACCAAATGTATGGCATTCATTCCAGTATAAGGCTAGAAGGGCGATACCTTTCAACGAGATAACTAGAACCCGACAAAAACGTTTTCAACGGAACTATGGGCGAATGATGAGACAACAACAGGGAATACTACGTCCTAAGGCATCTAGACTACTCGAGGCAACCAATCAAAATGTTCTCAAAGACAGTGAAGAGACTGGTACAGGCGAACCTATGGAAGAATTACCAGAGATTTCTTCTGAGAGGTCAAAGTTTGAGCGAGACAGAAGGGATGGAGAAGATCCAGATCAGCCCCTTACTATTTAGTTTGGTACGTTACCTCCTGTCGTGGCTAATAACTATTTACTAGCCAATGAGTTCAAGAATAAAGAGAAGGGAAAAGAAGAAAAGGAAGATAACGAAGAGGAAGCGTGCATGCTGGAATATGAAGAAGGCCAAACTTCTAGAGAAGCCTACAATGGTGAAGAAGATGATGATATGACAGACATCGAAAAGGAAATCGATCTGGAAGCAGAAAGGAGAAGAAGAGGAGTATCGTACAATACTCTGTTGAAGCAACTACATCGAGAGGGAGTTCGTGAAATAGACTTATTGGGAGAACCATCTGGGTGTTCTTTCGATTATTACGCACTGTACGGGATGCCCAAAAGGAAGAAGAGAGTGCCTCGCTCTGAAAATTATGGATCACCTCCAAGAATAATGCCTCCTCCCACAGGTTGGCTAACTGAAGAAGAAGCATTAGAAAACAGTAAAAAGGAAATTCAGGAGATAGAGGCTCAGTGCAATATGTTGCACGTTGACTTATCACAAAAGGGTAACTCGACAGAAGACAAGCAGGAAGTAGAAATAGATGCTGCCAAAAAGGTTATTTTTAAGCGACCAGCCATGAAATTGACCAAACACTTGAGGCCATTGTACGTTAAAGCTCTAGTTAACGGCATACCTGTGGCAAAAGTGATTGTCGATAATGAAGTAGCTATAAACACCATTCCATCTAGGATGATGAGGAAATTCGCAAAGACAAAAGGTGATATGATCCCAACGGAAGTCATCCTGACAAGATCAATGGAGGAGCAATTTCAGCTAAAGGGGTTATGCCATTGGACATAACTATAGGAACAACTACTAGGACCACAATCTTCTTTGTAATAGATGGTCCCACTAGTTACAATGTGTTATTAGGAAGAGATTCGATACACGGAAATCGCTGTATACCCTCATCACTCTATCAATGCCTAGTTTTTTGGAATGACAAGGGGCGAAGTAGAGGTGGTGCAGGCCGATCATAGGCCTTTTGTCGCAGAAGCAAACTCAGTGGAAATGTTCATGTACGAAGGAAATTATGGACCTGTCAGAGTAGTCCAAGATGGAGAAGAAACTCAGATTGTCGGACAGAGTGAAGAGCCGTTTTCAGTGGATGCACTCACTGAAATGTTCAGTCAGATGAGACCAAACATAGTGGCCTTAGAGGAGCCAGTAATTAGCAAAAGAATAATCAAGGAGTTTTGAATGAGTTCTAAGCAACAAAGGCAAATGGCCGATATTCAGGCCTTCAAAGCCAAATTAATGGCTTTTAATAAAGAACGTAAGGATAATACGAAAGAAGAAGCAGCCTTGAAAACATTGAGAAACAAATTGGCAGTGTTCAAGTTAGAACAAAGTATTGCCGAGAAGTCAACAAGGTG